TCAGGAATTGTGTTTTTGCCTTGCTTTGTATTCCCAGTGTTTAATACAGTGCCTGGCACTTAATAAATGTTTGATGATTGACCAAGATAGTCAGAGTTAGACAACCCAAGAGTTGGAGCCTGGGCTAACAGGAAGATTAAGCCCTGGCCTGAGCATCAGGAAACATGGTTTCCAGTCCTCCCTTTCACCAATTCCCTATGGGTACTTCTCCGGGCCTCAGTTTTTTCACCTGTAAAGTGAAGAGGTTGGATTATATGATCTCTCAGGTTCCTTCTAACTCTTCTACTCTAAATTAAGACAGGAAACTTGGCCTAATGGTTCAAATTGTTGAATTGAGCAGCTGGAAGAAGGACAATGAGAGAGGGGTAAAGGGGTAGACACTCACAGTAGATGGCATGGTCCTTTAGGGCACATTGGGAGGCCTGGCTGGAGACGTTGACGATAGCTCCTGGGGCTCCCCGGGCTATCAACCCCCGGGAGACAATCTAGAAACCAGGAGAAAAGCAGGGGAATGAAACAGAAGGATGAGAGGGAAGAAGGAGTCTGAACAAGAGACTTCAATTATGCTATAATTTCCCATCTTGTTGCAATTCCCAAACTTTGTGTCATAACTCACCTGGGACACTTGGACCACTGACCGAAAATTCACATCAAAAGACCTGGGGATAGACACCAGACACAGTCATAGCTAAAAGGGAAAATGGTTCTCCACCCAGAGCCCCAGGGCCCAGCCTACTTTCTTCAACTGAGCAGATAAGGTGGATTGTCATTCCCCCAAGAGGGGAAAAATTCCAGGCTGGATTCCAGGGGTCTACCTTTTGCAGGTTGGTTTTCCCCACTATCCTGGGGCCCTGCTTTTTTTTTTTTTTTAACCCCTAGGACTTACCTATCACAAGCCTCCTTAGTTACTTCCAGGAAAGGCTGTAGCAAGGCTACACCTGCATTGTTCACCAACAAGTCCACAGGGCCAATGGTACTCAGAGCCCGCTCTGTGGCCTCCCAGTCTCCCAGATCCACACATAAGGTCTCTATTCCTGGGCACTTCAGGGGGATTGGAAAGGGTTATTAGGTAACATTGAGAGACAAGTTTCCCATGGTAGAGTTCCTGATCTCAGCCAGGAGTTCAGGAAGGAGGCATAAAATTGGGGAATGACAGTGGGAACGTGAGATGGTCAGATGGTAATGAATAGGCCATAGGCTCCCATATCCTAGGATTGTTTCCACTAATGGTTAAAATGATGGAGTGTTAGTACCTTAAGAAGGCTTGCAAAATGAGTGACAGGTGGAGGTGCTCCTTGCCTCTCCAGCAGATCCTGTAGTTCCTGGCAATGGTCTTTGGGCACTTTGAGGCCCCTCAGAAAACAGAATCCCTCAGTTCTAAATATTGAACCAGAAGTAGATTTCTCAAGAAAACTGAAGGCTCTTTGCTCTGCCACCCTATACACTTTTTTTGGGTGGGAGGGCAATTGGGGTTGAGTGACTTGCCCAGGGTCACACAGTTAGTATGTGGCTGAGGGCAAATTTGAACTCGGGTCTTCCTGACTCCAGGGCCAGTGCTCTATCCATTGCAGCACCTAGCTGCTAACCTAGCTGTCCCCTCATACACTTTCAACTACCTCTGTGCATGTAACCACAATAGCTACTACTCTGTGCCCCCAAATAACTTCAAGTACTTTGGCGGGGAGCAGGAAGCAGCAGCGGCCTCAGCCTCTGGAAACTGTCCAGTGTTGTAGAGTCCCAAGGCACTGCCCAAGTGTGACCTGGGGGAGCAGCTAGGTGACAAAGTGGATAGAACACAGGCCCGGAAGTCAGGAGGACCTAAGTTCAAAACCGGCCTCAGACCTAACAGTTGACACTTAATAACTACGTGACTCTGGGCAAGTTACTTGACTCCAACTGCATATAAAACAAAACAAAACAAAAAAAAACCCAAGCGTGACCTGGGAGGTCATCAGATGGAGTGGACATGAATGTGTAGAATAGGAGTAGGGGGCTAAGAGTGGGTGATGATTCTCACAGTATGGCCCCCAAGACCTGGAGCATCAACTCGGTAGAGTGGAAAAGGGATTGAAAGAGAAAGAAATACAATAACCTACGTGCAAAGTTTAAAAATTACTTTGTATATGCCATTTATTGTAGAGTAGATATCCTAAGAGAGTGTTGTTACTGGAGTCGGGAAGACCTGGGTTTGAATCCCACATCTGAAATTTACTAATTCTGAGCAAATCACTTAACTCCTTTAAGCTTGTTTCCTCATATATAAAATAAGGATAATAATAGTAACTGAGAGGCATCAGGGCTTAGTTGGGAGCCAGCCTGGGTCAGAGAGTCCTGGGTTCGATCCCAGCTACTGAGCCCTCCTGGCTGTGTAACCCAAACGAATCATTTAACTGCTTGATTCTCCCACTCCCACCCCCCAAGCAACTCTTCAGGGCCATAAGTACCAGAGCAGTCTCTCTGCCAGAAGGAATTTCCTCATCAGGAATTCTCTTTATGAATGAAACCACAGAGAAGTTTAAAAAATGAAAAAGTAATACCCTACGTCCCTGGGTGGTTGTGAGGATCAAAAGACACATGTGTATAAAGGGCTTTGCAAATCTTCAAATGCACTGCGTAAATGCCGGCTATTATTACTGTGCATCAGTATTATATCTCCGTTTCATAGACAGGGAAACAGTGTAAGATATCCGTGGTCACACAGGAAGTAAGGAGCAGAGCTCGAATGTGAGACTAGGTGCTCTGCACCTAAATCCAACTCTGTAATCTCTGGATCCCTGGCTTTGGCTGCTGTTTTTGGTGGGGAGGGCCGGGCAAGAGGGAGGTGGCTGAAGAGGCCGACCCGTGGGTCAGCTGGCGTCCAGCAGCCCGGCTGCTCCAGACTCACGTGCCTAGATGGCAGGGGCAAGGTTCTAGTGGGCGGGGCTGGAGCTGGAGCTGGAAAGGACTGCGGTGCTCGGAGATCCCCAGTTACCTCCTGGGCCAGGCTGACCAGGTCCTCCTGGGTCCGACTCACTGCTACCACTCGGGCTCCGCTAGCAAATAGCGCCTTGGCAGTGTCCCTCCCGATGCCTGCAACGTCCCGAGAGACTTAGGGATGGGTCCGGGTTCCAACCGTCTAGATCGCTTGGCTCCCACTGCCCCCGACACCCCGCCCCAGCCCCATCACTAGCCCGAGCCCAGCCCCGGCCCCACCTTTGCCCGCTCCGGTGACCAGCGCCCGGCGGCCGGCGAAGCTTCGCTCCATCTCGATAACTATTATTCCACTTGTACCCGAGCGGACTCTGACGTCCAAAGATGCCGCGGGGTTCCAATCTGGGCAGGGAGGGAGGAGAGAAAAGACAGTGTATCCAATCAGAAGTCTCTTTCCAGGAGGGGAGGTGGTACTATTCCAGTAGCTTCGGCCATATTAGTGTGACTGAGGTGGGGCCGGTCAAGAAGTTATGATTGGCTAAAATACGGGTGAAGGTGGAGCTGTGGTCGGGGGAGTAGCTTAGACAGCCCGTATGCCTTAACTCTCCTGCTTCCGGTCTCGCCTTGTTTTGAGCTGGGCTCTCCTTGCGACTGCCTGTAATAGTTATAATTTCATATAATAATTATGTCTATGTGTTATACCCAGACCTAGCATACATTATTGTCCTTTACACACTCTATGGTTCTGTCTAAAGTGGCCTTCTTGCTGAACCCTCCCATCTTCAACTCCCTGCACCTTTGCCCGAGCTGTCTCCCGCGCCTGGAAAGCTTTCCTCCTCACCGCTGTCTCTTACAAAAGTGAACTCGAGTGCCACGTATCGCCCCTGAAAAATGATGATAATATATGTAAGGTACTGTCTCTTTCATATGATTGGTCACTGAAAATGGGCAGAAAAGGAAAATTCGTGAAAGGAAAACTGATGAAAATCAAATTGTGAAGAAAGTCTCTTGAAAACACATTGACATACCTAAAATGACTTCCTGAACATCGCGCCCAGCTCCCCAACACTTACTCCAAGAAAAACATGAAATTTGCAGAAGATAAAGTAATGCAATAAGGAACTATGGTAAGTGACTTTCTCCAAACTGCACAGAAACTCAGTCAGCAGCCTATTGGCTTCCAGCAAACTCCCGGCCAAGGCTAATGAGACAGTAGCCTTCTAACCCCTACAGAAAAGGGTGAGAGATACATATAGCCTGGAAGGCTTTCTGTTGGGAGGAAGAAAAAGCCAAGGTCTCCCCCGACAAAATCCCTGGGGTGCTTGGAAGTCCCTAATAGCAAAATAACTGACTAGTGTGGGTGCAGCTTGAACTAGGACAACCTAGGGCTCTGAGGTCCCTAGCACCCTATCCTGAAATGCCAGAGTCCTGACAATCCTGCCCTCTGAACTTCCAAGATCCAGAGGGAGCCTACCCTATGGAGGAGGGTACACTTAGTACCAGTGCAAGAATGCAGGTGACTCAAGGCAAAAGTAAGGTAAACCACTGGCCCAAATGTGTAGCAAGGGGTAGAGTAAATTCCTGACATAAAGTCCCAATTTATGAACTAAAAGTGGAGAAATGACTAAACCAAAGAAGTCAATGATCAGTTTCAAACTTTTAAGATTTCAACCCCCCCTCAAAAAAAGAGAATAACTCTGGATCAGCTCTGTATTAAATACTCAAAGGAAAAAAATGGGCCATCCACAGGGACTATATGAATAGCTGGAGAAATGAAACAAAGGCTTAAAAATGAAATAAAATGTGTGGAAGAAAAAAGTGGGAGGAGATTAAGTAGCTTAGAAGATAAAGTAGTAACCTTTGCCCAAAGAAAATCAAAAGCTATAAGATACCTAATATCAAAAACAACTGGCCTGGAAAACAGGTCAAGGAGATATAATTTAAGAATCAACAGACTCCCTGAAAACCATGATAAAAAAAATTCTGAACAGTTTTTTTTAAAATTAAAACTTTTTTTTAGGCACTTGGGGTTAAGTGACTTACCCAGGGTCATACAGCTAATAAGTGTCTGAGGCTGGATTTGAGCCCAGGTCCTCCGGTGTTCTATCCACTGCACCACCTGGCTTCCCCTAATTAAATCGTTTTTCAATTAAAAAGTGTTTATTTTCTCTTCTTCCCATCTCCCTTCCCCAACTGAAAAAAGCCCTTTAATAACATAGAGTCAAGCAAAACAAATCCCTACATTGGCCATGTTCAAAAAAATATGTCTCATTCTAAATATCAGGTCCATCATCCCTCTGTCAGAAGGTGGGTTACAGTACAAGTCTTACCATAGCTCTCCTTGACATTCAAGATAAATTCCTGCAAAAAATTCCAGTGATTTTCTATTACCTCCAGCGTCTCATATAAATGCTTAATTTGGCATTTAAAACCTTTCACACTCTCTTACCTTTCCAAGCTTCTTCTACTTTACTCCCTTCTATGTACTCCAAGATACAGTGACAGTAGCTTTCTTGCTCTTCCTCCCACAAGACACTCTATCTCCCAATTCAGTGCCTTTTTTCTGGTTGTTCCCCATGCTGGTAATGCTCTCCCTTCCTGTTTCTGCCTGCTGGCTTCCTCAGCTTTCTTTGGACCTCAGCTCAAGTCCTACCTTCTGTAAGAGGCTTTTCCTGGTCCCCCTCAATGCTAGTGACTTCTCTCTGAAATTGCTTCCACTTTACCCTGTAGATATCCTATTTGTACAGAGCTGTTTCCATGTTGTCTCCTCCATTAGAATGTCAACTCCTTGAGACTTAATTATATTAAGTCCTCTGGAATTATGGTTGATTACCAAGTTGATCAGAGTCCTTAAATCTTTCAAAATGGTATTTACAATGTTGTTATTGTTTTATAAATTGTTCTCCTGATTCTGCTCACTTTACTCCACATCAGTTCATACAGGCTTGTCCAGGTTTCTCTGAAATTTCCTTTTGTCATTTTTATGGCACAATAGAGTTCCATTATATTCACATACCATAATTTGTTTAGCTATTCCCCATTTGATGTTTCCACTTCCTGGCTACTACAAAAAGAACTGCTACCAAAGATAGATAGATAGACAGATAGATAGACAGACAGACACATAATATACTTACATGTATAAATAAACGTATATGTATATGCTCTGTTCCTCTGCATTGATGTTATATTTTTAAGAAATCACAGGGCAGAGCCAAGATGGTGGAGTGAAAGCAGTGACTTGCTTGAGCTCTCCCCCAAACCCCTCCAAATACTCATAAAAAATGGCTCTAAACAAATTCTGAAGCAGCAGAATCCACAAAAAGACAGAGTGAAGCAAATTTCTAGCCCAAGACCACCTGGATGATTGATCAGAAAGGTGTATCGCACCGGGCTGGGAGGGCAGCACAGCACAGGGGTGTGGGAGTGCAGGCCGCAGCAAACCTGGAGCAGGCCTCAGAGGACTGAATCTCGGGCAGCTGCGGAGGTTTTCAGACTCCTCAATCCACCAATGCCAAAGACAACTTAGAAGGTCAGTGGGAAAAGTCTGTTTCTGTCAGAGCATGGCCCTGGGGGGGGGGGGGCGCAGCTGCTTCCCGAGCTTCTGGTCCACAGACTGAGGGGGAATCCAGTGGCTAATCAGAGAGGGATTGCAGGATCTCTTTGCCAGTGCTGAGGCAGGAATCTCTTGCTTTGCCCATGTTTGGATGTGGGCCACAGTTCTGGGTGGGGTCCTGGGGTGACAAGGAAGCTGGCCTGGTGGAGCTTGTAGTGGCTGTGGAGATAAAGCCCTCCTCACAGGACAGAAAGGAGTACTTGTAGTCGCAGGCCAGGAAAGGAGTAAACACCTTGCCCCTTATCATATCACCTTGGAAGAACTGAAAATTTACAGGTCCCTACAAGTATCTCTGAAAAATCTGCGCCGAACTTGGGACAGTACGCTGTCCACATTGGAAGCAGACTCTTACCTTAACAAAGAGTTTAAAACTCAAGTAATTGGCCAGGATCATGAGCAAGCAGTGCAAAAAGAGTCAGACTATATTGTCTTACTTTGGTGAAAAGGAAGATCAAAAATATACAACCAGAAGAAGACAACAAAGTCAAAGCTCCTACATCCAAAGCCTCCAAGAAAAATATGAATCAGTCCCAGGCCTTGGAAGAGCTCAAAAAGGATCTTGAGAAGCAAGTAAGGGAAGTAGAGGAAAAACTGAGAGTGATGCAAGAAAATCATGAAAAACAAGTCAACAGCTTGCTAAAGGAGACCCAAAAAAATACTGAAGAAAATAACACCTTAAAAAATAGCCTAACCCAAATGGCAAAAGAGGTCCAAAAAGCCAATGAGGAGAAAAATGCCCTAAAAAGCAAAATTGGCCAAATGGAAAAGGAAGTCCAAAAGCTTACTGAAGAAAATACTTCCTTAAAAATTAGAATAGAGCAATTGGAAGATAGTGACTTTATGAGAAATCACAACACAGTAGAACAAATCCAAAAGAATGAAAAATTAGAAAACAATGTGAAATATCTCATTGGAAAAACAACTGACCTGGAAAATAGATCCAGGAGAGAGAATTTAAAAATTATTGGACTATCTGAAAGCCATGATCAAAAAAAGAGCCTAGACATCATCTTTCAAGAAATTATCAAGGAAAACTGCCCTGATATATTAGAACCAGAGGGCAAAATAGAAATTGAAAGAATCCACAGATCTCCCCTGAAAGAGATCCCCAAAGGAAAACTCCTAGGAATATTGTAGCCAAATTGCAGAGTTCCCAGGTCAAGGAGAAAATATTACAAGCTGCCAGAAGGAAAAAGTTCAAGTACTGTGGAAACACAATCAGGATAACACAAGATTTAGCAGCTTCTACATTAAAGGACTGCAGGGCATGGAATATAATATTCCAGAGGGCAAAGGAGATAGGATTACAACCAAGAATCACCTACCCAGCAAAACTGAGTATAATCCTTCAGGGGAAAAAATGGTCATTCAGTGAAATAGAGGACTTTCAAGCATTCTTGATGAAAAGACCAGAGCTGAATAGAAAATTTGACTTTCAAATACAGGACTCCAGTGGAACATGAAGAGGTAAACAGGAAAGAGAAATCATAAGAGACTTATTAAGATTGAACTGTTTACATTCCTGCATGGAAAGATGATATTTATAACTCATGAACCTTTGTCAGTATAGGGTAGTTGGAAGAAAAAATTATATGTATGTATATGTAGATAGATAGATAGAGGGCACAGGGTGAGCTGAAGATTAAGTGGTCATATCTGGAGAATAAAATTAAGGGATGAGGGAGGATGATACTCGGAGAAGAAGAAAGGGAGAGGTAGAATGGGGTAAATTATCTCACAAAAAAAAAACAGGAAAGAAAAGTCTCTTACAGTGGAAGGGAAAATGGGAGAAGGTGAGAGGGAATGAGTGAATCTTATTCTCATAGGATTTGGCTTAAGGAGGGAATAACATACACATTCAATTGGGTATGGAAATCTGTCTCACCCTACAGGAAATAGGGGAGAAGGGGACAGGAGAGCAGGGGGATGATAGAGAGGAGGGCAGATTGGGAAAGGGGGTAATCAGAAGTAAATACTTCTGAGGAGGGACAGGGTCAAAAGAAAGAATAGAATAAATGGGAGGGCAGGATAGGATTAAGGGAAATAGAGTTAGTTTTTCCCAACATGTCTACTATGGACAGGTTTTGCATAACTGCACATGTACAACCTATATTGAGTTGCTTGCCTTTTCAATGAGGGTGGGTGGGGAGGGAGGAAGAGAGAAAATTTGAAACCTAAAGTTTTAAAAACATATGTTTTTAAAAAATGTTTTCACGTGCTACTGGGAAATAAGAAATATAGGAAATGGGGTACAGAAGTCTATCCTACCCTACAGGAAAATAGAAGGGGAAGGGGATAAGAGAAGGGGAGAGAGATAGAAGAGCGGACAGACTAGGGGAAGGGATATTCAGAATGCATGACATCTTGGGGTGGGGGGAGGGGGGAGATGGGGTGAAAATTTGGAACTCAAAAACTTATGTAAGTGAATGTTGAAAACTAAAAATAAATAAATTTATATAAGAAAGCATAATTAGAACTGTCTCTGTCTACTAGAATGAGAGGGCAAAGTGAGGATGGAAAGAATCTACCTATAACTTTCTGAAAGAAATTACCAGAAGAAAAAGTCCCAGAATTGGCATAGCCAAAATCCTGAGCTCCCATGTCAAAGAAAAGAGTATTTAGAAAGACATGGTTCAAGTACCAATGAAGGGCAGTCAGGATCACACAAGACCTGCACACTTCTATTAAAAATGAGAGGAAAGGGCAGCTAGGTGGTGCAGTGGATAGAGTACCGCCCTGAAGTCAGGAGAACCTTAGTTCAAATCCGACCTTAGACCACACACTTGACACTTGTGTGACCTTGGGCAAGTCACTTAACTGCAATTGCCTAAAAAAAAAGTGAGAAGAGATCTTGGAATAAAATATACCAAATGGCAAAAGCTACAGGCTTATAACAGCAACAGCAAAATCGTCCACTACAAAGCTTAGTATACTACCACAAAGGGAAAAAGAATGAATCATTAATGGGATAAAATTTCCATTAAAAAGACCAGAGCTGAGTAGGAACTTTGCAAGCAAACACAAGAGTCATGAGAAACCTAGAAAGGTAAATTTATTTGAGCAGATGGAAGGAGCTGTATAATGACGTAGTGCTAACATTCTTATGAGAATATATTTCTAGAAACTTTAATATCTTCAGAGAGTAATGAGAAAGGTAAGTGAAAAAAATAGGGGTCCTTCCTGGGGATAATTGGTTCTATTCTGAGAGCCTGAAGAGCAGAAAGAGAGGGAGATTAAAAGGAAGAATTTACTAAAGTAGAAAGAAGGAAAAAGTGGATGGAACTTGCTATTTCCTGTAATTAAGGTAAGTGAGAACAGTGTACAAACACGTAGAAAGAGGTGGGAGGAGGGGACATCAGATGAACCTCACTCATCTGAAACGAATAAAGGAGGGGTGAAAACACACCTACACACAGAGTTTGGTACAAAAATACATCAGACTCAACAAGGGAACAAACAGGGTTGGGGGAAGGTTAAGAGGGAGGATGATCCTGGGGAAGGAGTATTCTCAAGCAAAATAAACTTCCTATTCTTGAAAAGGAGACTTTTTCCTTGAAGAGAGAAAAGAAAAGAACAAGAAATTAAGGTTGTACTGCTGATTGCCTCCTAGACAACTGGGGAACGGTTGAACAAATTGTACCAGGAATGTAATGGAATATTATTTCACTGTAGGAAATGACAGAAGAGATAATTTCAGAGAATCCTGAATAGAAAAACTGACACAGAATGCAGGGAGCAGAATAGAGAAAAATTTAGGGGCAGCTAGGTGGTGCAATAGATAGAGCACCAGCTCTGAAGTCAGGAGGACCTGAGTGCAAATCCAGTCTCAGACCAGACACTTGACACTTATTAGCTGTGTGACCCTGGGCAAGTCACTTAACCCCATTGCCTAGAACAAAAAACAAAAAAAAATTTATACAAGGACAGAAATATGGTAAAGAAAAACGACTTTGAAGGATTGAAGAACTCTAATCATTGTAATAATGATCAACAATATCTTTTAGGCCATCTAGAGATATTGACCTAGAGATAGGTCCTCAGAGGACATATGAAGAAGTATGCTAACCATCTCCTGACAAAGAAATGTGGACTCAAGTTCTTAGGGACATACTTTTTTTGGTCATGGCTACTGGGTGGATTCATTTTACTTTACTATATTTATTTGTTACAGGATTGTTGTTGTTTTTTGTTCCTCTGGGTTAATTGGGGGAGGGGGAGAATAGGGGCTTTAGTGATATGAGAAAAAAAAAAGACCATAGAAAC